TTAGTTTTTTTCCACTGATTTCTTTTCTTACTTTTTTTTTTTTCTGAGACAGAGTCTTGCACTATTGCCTGGGCTGGAGTGCAATGGCGCGATCTCAGCTCACTGCAACCTCTGCCTCCCAGTTTCAAGCAATTCTCTTGCCTCAGCCTCCTGAGTAGCTGGGATTACAGGTGCCCCCCACCACACCCGGCTAATTTTTTGTATTTTTAGTAGAGACAGGGTTTCACTATGTTGGCCAGGCTGGTCCTGAACTCTTGACCTCGTGATCTGCCCGCCTCGGCCTCCCAGAATGCTGTGATTACAGGCGTGAGCCACTGTGCTCGGTGTATTTTCTAATAATTTTATGTTCTTTGGATGTACTCTGTTCATTTTCTAACTTCTCAAGATAGCAACTCAATGCATTAATTTTCGGTCTTTTCTACTATATGCATTTAAGACTGTCCATTTTTCACTAAGATCTGTTTTAGTTGTGTCTTGCACATTTGGATATGTTGTGTATTGCTCAGTTTTAACTTTGTTATCCATTATGATTTTTATAAAACTGAATTATTTAGTACATTAAAATATTTTCAAAGGTACTGGACATTTTTGGTTTATTTTTCTATTAATTTTTAATTGTATTGCATTATACTCAGAACATGCTCTACATGCTATTGACTCCTTTGTATTTTTTGAGATTTGCTTCATGGTCTCCTAATTGATAATTTAAAAAAAATAAATGTTTAATGTGTGTTTGAAAAAAGTGTATTTTTAAATGTTAGGTACAAGGTTATATATATTCATTAGATCAAACTTGTTAATTTTTATAAAATCTTCTGTATTCATATTAATTTTGTCTGTTTAATTTCTTAAATCTTTGTTGAAATATCTAAAGATGACAACTTTGTCATTTTCTTCTTCGAGTTCTGCCAACATTTGCCTTAATTATTTTGAAATTGTGTGGTTAGATTAATTACACTTTATAGTGGCAATATAACTTTCCAGTGAATTGTTTCTTTAGATGTCAGGTAGTGATATTAATCTCTAATAGCGCATTTCACCTTAAAGTCTGTTTGTTCTGGTATTAACTACCAGGTATACTTTTTAATATGTCCCCCTCCTTTATTTACCTTTTGGTGCCATTATTTTTTAAAAATATGTTTTGTAGCTGGATTTATAATCTAATCTGAGAGGCCTTGTCTTTTATCTAGTGAACTTAATCTTGCATTTACTACAAATCATGATTTATAGCTGGTTTTATTTCCACCATCTTTGTGCTTTCTAGTTTTCATGCTTTTTTTTCTTAAAAAATTTGTCTGTGCTTTTCATGAGTTGCATTCATACTTTCTTTGGTCCTTTTTTTCTTTTTATTTTCTCTTTCTATTGGATTGAGCCGGTTTTTAAGTTCTAGCTATTCTAGTACACCTCCACCAGAAATTATACATTCTCTCTTTCCTTTCAGTATTTACTCTTCATTTGGACATCTTTACTTAAAGTCTAAAATTAGTCAATTTTAAAGTCCGATCATATGCCTTTTACCTTAAATGGTATTGTTGTCTAATATTTTATTTCTGTCTTTTTAAAATCTATACTCCAAGTAGGTATTATTAGTACTGTTTTACATAGTATTAATTCTTCGAAATTAGTATAGCAATTCTTTGAGACAAGTCTGAGAATTTAATTTTTTGAACAAGGGTTTACCCATGGTAAATTCTGTCTCTTTTTGTCTACAATGTCTTTTGTTTGCTTTTTTCTTGTCATCATTCTTGAATGATAGTTTTTCTGGGTATGGAATACAAGGGTGGTTGTTTTTCTTAGCATTTCCAAGATATTTTCCATTTCTTTGTTTCTCTGATTGCTTCTGAGAAGTCTGCTCACAATCAAATTACTCTTGTCAGTAGGTAATCTGTCCTTTCTCTGTTGTTGCTTCTGGGATCTTCTCTTTGTTCTAGGTGTTCTAAATTGCACTAGGATATGAATAGATAAGAATTTGTTTTCACTTATACTGCCCTAGGTAGGATTCGTGCCTCTTAAATCTAAAGACTTACGCATTTAATTGAACCTGAAAAATTCGTAGCCATTATCTCTTTAATTTTTGCCTCTGTTCCATTCTTTTAATTCTCTGCTTTTGGTATGTCTATTTAAATGTGTGTCAAACTTCATTTTGAGCTTCCAGCCTTAGGATGTTTTAAATTATGAAATATCACACATTCAAGCCACACATGGTGACACACACCTATGGTTCCAGCTATGTAGGAGTCTGAGGCAGGAGGATCACTTGAAGCCAGCAGTTCAAGACTGCAGTGAGCTATGATCGTGCCTGTGAATGGCCACTGCATTCCAGCCTAGGCAGCATGAGACAAGAACAAGAGAGAGAGAGAGACAAGGAAGGAAGGAGAAAGAGAGCACACATTCAAAACAGTTACTATATCTATAGTTTGATAATTATATAACATTATTAACTAATTATGTAAAATAGGATGAACACCTGTGATCCCAGTACCATCAGCTTGAGCAATTTAATATCAAGGAGTACAAATGAAATCTGCATCTTACCTGCATGATTTCTGTGAGAATGCAATAAGATAAGCAAAACCGTGTGGCTTAGACTTAGTAGCTGGTCATTCTTTAAGGAGAGACACCATCAGAAATGTGGTAGAGTAGATTCCAGCATTTGTTAAATTTTGGATAATGTTTATTGAGTACTTCAAGTGCTGGGACAGTACCAAGTTCTTTACCTTGATTGTCTCATTTAGTCCTCACATCAGCTCTTAAGGAATAAACTGTTAAACATTCTAGTTTTATAGATGAGGAACTGAGGTTGAGGAATGGAGTAATTTGGCTAGGACTTCACAGCTGGAAGATGGCAGAACCATGACTACACTCTGGGCAGTCTGATTCTCAACCATTTATGCTTTGCTGCCTGTAAATGAATCGTGTGGCTCCTTCCTATGACACCCAGATTCTATATGATACGGTGTTCATTGGAAATTCCTTTGTTGAAGTCCTTTTTTGGTGATGCATTTTGGGAGATCCAAACTGGGTTGCAAGGGAAAGTGGAGGAATATGAAGAAACCTAGGCCTTAGGTCTGTATTAGGGCCATCTTCAGGTCTCAACTTGGAACTTACCTTTCCCAGAAGAAAACCTCTCCAGAGACAGTGACCCCACAAACCTGCTTGAATGTCCTCCTTCTGTGTTCCTATGTGGCACCGTAATTGGCTGTTTAAATGTCTCCTCTCACTGGACTCCATGTTTAGCCAGGACAGGACTGCCTTGTTAACGTCTGTATCTCCAGCACTCAACAAATGTCTGGTCCATAAAAGTTCACAACACATATTTGTTAATTCTTAATGATGGAGTAAATTATTGTACTAGAAGAACTAATAATGTGACAGCTTTTATTGAATATTTTATTCCAGATACTGTGGTTAAATTTTTGATATATTTTACAGATAATTGTAATACTGAATTGTGATTTATCTAAAAGCGTTCTCTCATTTAATCCTTACAATAATTGCAGAAGTTAAGTATCATTGTTAACTATTTTACAGATGACAAATGAGCTGAAGTTTAGAGAGATTACATGACTTGTCTAAAATCACCTGCTGTTTAATCAGTAGAGCATGGATTTGAACCCTTACCTGTCTGATTCCAGAGCCTGTGGTCTTTACATGTTAGCGTTCTGCTTCTCTGGAGATTTGCACAGTCAAGTTAAATTGGAGAAATCGTAGAAATTTATGTTCTTGAAAAATTGCTAAGAAGCCCGCCCCAGTGTTGGGATGATTTGCCATATAAGGGCAAAAACAACAAAAAATAGATTCAGCCATACGTTGCAGTGATTCCTTTCTGTGCACCTGCCCTTAGCGCATACACAGCTTCAGCATGGACTGGCATTAAGCTGTTTTAAAAAGGAAACCACTTTCATGCACCCGTTGTTAACAACGGCAGTTGTCTTAGTTGACACAAAATTGGTCTGATAACCCTGGTTGGTTTGCTAGATTCAAATGTGTGACATGAACAAATCATGGCAGCTATTTATGACCAACATTAAGCATTTTAGTCTTAATCAGATGTGGAACTGGCTGATGGGTGAGGTCTAAGTTGGTGTTAACTAGACTGTCTGGCTGGCATTTCTGTTGATTGAAGGTAGCAGAGAGACTGAGACATTAAAATGTAGTAGGCTCTTTAGACCCTAAGTGATAGCTAAAGCTTTTTTTTTTTTTTTTTAACTTTAACTTTTTAAATTTTCTTTTCTTTTTTCTTTTTTTCTTTTTTTTTTTCTTTTTTTTTTTTGAGACAGAGTCTCACTGTGTCACTAGGCTGGAGTGCCAGTGGTGCAATCTCAGCTCACTGCAACCTCCGCCTCCTGGGTTCAAGCGATTCTCCTGCCTCAGCCTCCTGAGTAGCTGGGACTACAGGCGCTCACCACCACGCCTGGCTAATTTTTGTATTTTTAGTCGGGGTTTCACCATGTTGGCCAGGATAATCTCAATCTCCTGACCTGCTGATCCACCTGCCTCAGCCTCCCTAAGTGCTGGGATTATAGGCGTGAGCTACCACACCCAGCCTTTAAATTTTCATAGTGCCATTCATATCCAGAACTGGTAATTTATATATTTGAGGATATTGTCTTATTGTATTAAAAGTTATATTTCACATTTTGAATAATACCAAGGTTTAGGGATTTTTTTAAAAGGCATGGAACATCCTTTTAATTTACAATTTGGTTATTTAGAATTGTATTTTGGTAAAAAGACTTTCATATTCTCTTTTGCTATGTCTGCTAGTGCAGTTGATTACATCTTTTTGGTTCTAGGGATTTGGATTCTTGTAATTTGATGGCGTGTCCTTGGTAGTGGCTTTTTCTAGAAGTGAAAGTTAATATTTACTATACGATGTCATCATATCTAGACAATTGAGAGTTTTGGGTGGAGGTAATAAAGGAGAAATGGGCCTAAGAAAATGTATAACCTCTGTAGTGTTGATGTTACATAATAGGTTTGTTTCTCTCTTCTTTCAGACTGGTCGAATTGACAAATCCTACCCTACAGTATGTGGCCACACAGGACCAGTGCTGGACATAGACTGGTGCCCACATAACGATCAGGTCATTGCCAGCGGTTCAGAGGACTGCACGGTCATGGTAAGCTCCCAGGGTGTTGCATGCACGCAGGCCGGTGGGACTCACCTACTGCTTTCAAAAGCGTGTGTGTGAGTGTGTGTGTATGTATAGAGGCTTGAAAAGCAGAAAGTTATAGCAGTTTTGACTGTCTGTTGGATTTTACAAGAATTTACTACCTTTAAGTTTAATTACAGATAATCCTTTCAACAAGCCCTTAAGTCAAAAGGTTGTACTGCAGTGTCTTTTTTTTTTTTTTTTTTTTTTTGAGATGGTGTCTCACTCTGTCACCCAGGCTGGAGTGCAGTGTCATGATCTCAGCTCACTGTAACCTCCACCTCCCAGGTTCAAGTGATTCTTCTGCCTCAGACTCCTGAGTAACTGGGATTACAGGCATCCGCTGCCACACCTGGCTAATTTTTGTATTTTTGATAGAGATGAGGTTTCACCATGTTGGCCAGGCCGGTCTCAAACTCCTGACCTCAAGTGATCCGCCTACCTCGGCCTCCCAAAGTGCTGGGATTACAGTCTTTTCTGTGAGTGTATTTGTGTATGTGCTTATTGACAGTTGACATCTTCTCTGTCAGAAGATTTTAGGGAAAGTAAAATGACTTTTCAGTAATTCTGTAATGCCATTTGACCACATGAATTTCCCCTCGCCCCAAAAGAAGAGAAAAAACTGCTGGCACAGACTGTACAAGACAGTGACGTAAGATGCCAAAGTTATGCAGATAAAATGGAGTATGTCACAGGTGGTAAAAGACAGTTTTTGCAATTGCTTATTTCCAAGCTAATGGCAGAAATTGTGTTCTGTCCAGTGGACCCTGGTTAAGAAAGTCCTTTTCATAAAGATATACAAACAAACAAAAAATGTGAAAGGTGAATTAAGCACTTCACATTCCCTCCTTTAGTTTCCAAAAGTAGGTTATGTGTGAAACAAGGCTTTGGAGTACTTTTTAATATGATTTCTTGTTCTTGGTTATGATTTTTAACTTTAAAATGTGATTATTGGTTTGGGTCAGTTTTTAATGCTAGCCCAAAATAGGTTGAAAAGGTTAGGCATAAGCACAAATGGGAGTACTGCTGCCCCTGAAATAAGGGAAGATGGTCTCTAATTAATTTGGTAAGCAGTCTCGCACATGTCAGGTAGACAGCTTGGAGAACTATGCTACTTTTATTTTCCTCTCTATTGGCTGTAGACTGAAACATTGTTTGGAAAGCTTTATTAATTAAAATTATTTTACATAAACACAAATTAATTCCTGAACTGTGTCATTTAAACATTTACCCGCTTTTCCTCATGGGCTTTTGGCTGGGAATGTCTCCTCCTGTGATCTCATAATTTTGGCAGCTAAAGCATATTAAGGAAATATGCTGCTGTGAAAGGGAATTGTTCTGTTTAATGTGCCTTGCTAAATTGATCATTTTAATGGCCACGGACACATTTTGCTAAGAGAAAGGAATATTATTTAGACCTGATGCCAGAATTTTTTTTTTTTTTTTTTTTTTTTTTTTTTTTTTTTGAGATGGAGTCTCACTTTGTCCCCCAGGTTGGAGTGCAATGGCATGATCTCAGCTCACTGCAACCTCTACCTCCCAGGTTCAAGCGATTCTCCTGCCTCAGCCTCCCGAGTAGCTGGGATTACAGGCCTGCGCCACCACGCGCAGCTAATTTTTATGTTTTTAGTAGAAACGGAGTTTCACCATGTTGGCCAGGCTGGTCTTGAACTCCTGACCTCAAGTGATCCACCCGCCTCAGCCTCCCAAAGTGCTGGGATTACAGGCACGAGCCATCGCGCCCGACTCGGATGCCAGAATCTTAAACGGAGAGTCTGAACCTCTTTTGAAGAAGCAGGTTTGATCCATCCTCTGGCTCTCCCTGTCTCTAGCATTATCCTTTAAAAAAAAAAAAAAAAAAAAACAACATTATCTTTTTAAAAAAAAAAAAAAAAAAGTGTGTATTATAAAACAGAAAAACACACCAAACAGTTAAGTGAAAAAGTGAATTCAGGGAGTTAAGTGATTTATGACATAGCGAACACCATGTAACCACCTTCCATGTCAAAAAGTAGAACTTTCCCAACCTCCTCGGACTTCTCCATGTGCCCCATCCCAGTCCAACACCCCTCCTCCCTCTCAAAGTAACCACTCTCCTGAGTTTTGTAATACTCATTTCCTTGCCTTTCTTTGTAGTGGTAATCACTCAAGTGTATACCTCTAGACTCTATAGACTGGTCTTGCCAGTTTTAAAAACTTTAAGTCTTAATCTGAAGATTCTTTCTTCATCATTTTCTTTTTCCTACAATGTATCTACGCAAAAGCCCTGACGTTTGACCTGTGCTTTTCAGCCATCTGGATTTTGCTGATTGTATCCTCATGTTGCAGTGGAACGTACTCCTCTGTCCTCTGAATTTCCTGCAGATTGGCAGCTGGAACCTGAAGTGTGGTCAGATTCAGGTTCTGTCTTTTTGGCAAGACTATATTGTTCCCGTTATGTTCTTCCATACGCTAGGAAGCACATGATGTCACGATGTCTGGGTTTCATTCCTTTTCGATTCGTGCATTCTGTGCCTATATCCAGTCATTCACTAGGGGTCGCAATATGGTGACAGTAAATTCTGTCATTTTGTTTTCAATTTTTAGCTGGTAAAATTTTATAAGATGATGCCCTGACTTGCATACTATTTAGTTACCAAATAGTATAGTTCATTTAGGAAAGCAGGATAAGTGCTTGATTCTTTCCTTTTATTTACCCAGTTCTCAAGATAATGAATTGATTGTCTATCATCCTCAGAAGGTGACAAATTAGGGTTTTTCCCCCCTTTCCTTTCATTTTGAAATTATGGATTTGAATATATTTGATGGGTTCAATCCATTGTAATTCTTATCTCAAAGCTGACTTTCTCGCCTTTTCCAGTGGAAACCTCTTCAAGATTTCTGAGTCCTTTTGAAATGACCCTTGTAGTCTTTGATTGATACATTCCTTGCTGTGTGATATGCTGAGGTGTTTCAGGTTCATGTTGGACATCCCTGCCCAAGCCATTTCTTTCAGACGTCCTGGTTTATTTTAAGGGAAAATTATATCTCTTAAGTATGCAGTAGCATTATGTCTAAAAAAAAAAAGTGTGTGTGTGTGTGTAATTAATTTAAAAATACTGTATTACCAAAGAGAGTGTAATCTTTTTGTTGTGGAGGGTTTTCCCTCCGTGTTGATGGCTGCTGACTGATGAGGGTGGTGGTTGCTGAAGGTTGGGCTGGATGAGGCAATGACAATAAAGTTTGTCATATTGATTGACTTGGCGTCTCATGAAATCTTCCTCTGTAGCATGTAATGCTGTTTGATAGCATTTTACCCACCGTAGAGCTTCTTTCAAAATTGGAGTCAGTCCTCTCAAACCCTTTTGCTGCCTTATCAACTAAGTTTATGTAGGTAATATTCTAAATGTTTTGTTGTCATTTCAACAGTGTTCATAGCATCATTACCAGGAGTACATTCCATCTCAGGAAACTGTTTTATTTGCTTTTCCATAAGGAACAATGCCTCATCTGTTCAAATTTTATCATTAGATTGCAGCAATTCACTCACATCTTCCGGCTCCGCTTTTTATTCTCTACTTCTCTATTTCTACCATATCTACAGTTACTTCTTCCACCAAAGTCTTGAACTCCTCAAATGTTGATATTTTGAACTCCTTCCATGAATCATGAATTTTCTTAATGTCACCTAAAATGGTGAATCCTTTCTAGGTTTGTTTTTTTTTTTTTTGAGACGGAGTCTTGCTCTGTCGCCCAGGCTGGAGTGCAGTGGTACGATCTCGGCTCACTGCAACCTCCGCCTCCCAGGTTCAAGCGATTCTCCTGCCTCAGCCTCCCGAGTAGCTGGGGCTACAGGTGCGTGCCACCATGCCCAGCTAATTTTTTGTATTTTTAGTAGAGACGGGGTTTCACCGTGTTAGCCAGGATGGTCTCCATCTCCTGATCTCGTGATCCGCCCACCTTGGCCTCCCAAAGTGCTGGGATTACAGGCGTGAGCCACTGCACCTTGCCCAGAAGGTTTTTAATTCACTTTGCCCAGATCCATCAGGGGAATCACTATCAGTGGTAGCTGTAGCCTTATGAAATGTATTTCTTAAATAAGAAGACTTGGCCGGGCGTGGTGGCTCACGCCTGTAATCCCAGCACTTTGGGAGGCCAAGACGGGCGGATCACGAGGTCAGGAGATCGAGACCATCCTGGCTAACACGGTGAAACCCCGTCTCTACTAAAAATACATTTAAAAAAATGAACCGGGCATGGTGGCGGGCGCCTGTAGTCCCAGCTACACGGGAGGCTGAGGCAGGAGAATGGTGTGAACCCGGGAAGCGGAGCTTGCAGTGAGTGGAGATCGCACCACTGCACTCCAGCCTGGGTGACAAAGCAAGACTCCGTCTCAGAATAAAAGACTTGAAAGTCAAAATGATTCCTTGTTCCAAGGGCTGCAGAATTGATTTTAGCAGGTGAAAACAACATTAGTCTCCTTGTACATTTTCATCAGAGGTCTCGGGTGATAAGGTGCATTGTTGATGAGCAGTAATATTTTGTAAGGAATCTTTTTTTTTCCTGATGGTGGGCCTAAAATATTCAGTAAACCATGCAGTAAACAGATGTGCTGTCATTCATGCTTTGTTTTTCCATTTCTAGAACACAGACAGAGTAGATTTAGCATAATTCTTAAGGGCCGTAGGATTTTTGGTGCGGTAAATGAGCATTGCCATCAACTTAAAGTCACCAGCTGCATCAGCCTCTAACAAGACAGGCAGCTCATCTTTTGAAGCTTTGAAGCCAGGCATTGACTTCTCCTCTCTAGCCATGAAAGTTCTCGGTGGCATCTTCTTTCAGTAGAAGGCTGTTTCATCTACATTGAAAATGTGTTGTTTAATGTAGCCACCTTCATCAATGATCTTAGCCAGATCTTCTGGATAACTTGCTGCAGCTTCTCCATCAGCACTTGCTGCTTTCCCTTGTACTTTCATATAATGGATATG